ATCGCTATCACTCCCAGCATGATTATTAATTAGTATAAGTTATTGAAAACAGGTTATTGTTTAATATATAGCATATGAATATTTCAGAAATATATACTATTAATAATAAAACACTTATCAAATATATTTTAATTTTTAATATAGTGTTAATTCGCTTTAGAGCCACTAGCTTATAACGTAAAGTAATTAAATTTATAATCACATGAAAAAGTCTGTCTTCATAACTTTTGAGTTTATACAAAAAAAAGAATAGAGTTTATTAATATAAATGGCATCAAATAAAATAAACAAAAAAAGAAAAATTAATTAGAACTTTTTTTTTTCAAAGTTCTTAAACTTGATTATCGATATTCTTTAATTCCTCCTTAAAACTATTGATTAAACAAGTAAAATAAGATATAATTAAATAAAAGGTTTGAAAATATTACATATAAAAGAAACATATAAATTAAATTAATAAAAATTTTGAAATTTAAGTTGTTTCTTTACTTATCTTTAACATATTTAAAATAAATAACAATAAAATTTTCTGTATCTTTATTTTTTTTTTTGGTTATTTCAAAATGTCTAAAAATAATTATGAATATAAACAAAGCAAAATTACTTTATTTATTTCTATTGCACAAACTTCTAAAAAATCAAACCTTTTATATGATGAAAATAATTTATTTAGTGAAGATTTTGATTTTAATAATTTTGAAAACAGTACTGACGAAGGTTCTAATAATGAACAAGATACATCTGAATTAAAAAAACCTGAATATAATCAGTTTGATAAGAAAAATTTAAAATAGAATCCAAATCGGAAAAAACCTACCCATGGGTTGATTTAGTATTATGAAAAGATAGCAAATATATGATTTGTACATGGTGTACTAATGCAAAATGCAATAATATTTTTGTATCAGGTACTCAATATTTTAAAGAGCAGTATCTTCAATGACATATAGAGCGAGCTGATCATAAAAAGGTTGTAAGTGCACGTAGTAAAACTCAAGTTAATATTATATCTAGCATGCATCAGCATGCTGAGTTTGACCATTTACAAATGATAAAAAAAATGATAAATATTTACTTTCTTGTAAAACATAATATTGCTACACTTAATTTGAAGATTTCTGTCATCTTATTGATTTACAAATTCAAAGTTCTGAACAAAATATTGTTCCAGGTAGTACAAATCTTTTAAGTTTACCTGAACCAATAGCTGCAACACAATCTATACGTAGCGAATATGGATCATATACTAATAATCAAGCTGGAAAACAATTTATTAAAGCAATTGCATGTATTATTGAAGAAGCTATATTTAATGAATTATGAACATCTAAAGCATGGAGTCTTATGATCGATGAAAGTAATACAATTTCTAATGAAAAACATCTAGCTATTGTTTCATGACATATATCATATAATTTGCCAGTTTTTCGTTACTTAGGTATTATTAAACTTCAGAGTGCATCATCAAACGTAATTTTTAAAGATTTAAACCAGTTTATTCTTGCTAAATATTTACCACTTGAATCACTTTATCATTTTGGGAGCGATGGTGCAAGTGTCAATTTAGGTAATATAATTATATTTATTTGAATTTGTATTACTTTATTAACAGTTATTTATCAATAGCTTATTTAGCCATTATACCAGATAAGCTAACCCAAACTCTATATGATTTGGGTTAAATAAGCTTTCAGTAAAATAACTATTAATAAAGTGAATAGCACTAATCTATTTTAATTATTCATTTATATTAATTAATAAAAAATATATTATTTTAGGTCATGTAAATGGAATAGCAACACAGTTAAAAACTCGCCTTCTATTTCTCACTGAGCATCATTGTATAAACTATCGTTTAGCACTTGCTTCTAAAGATGCTGCTGAGCAAACACCTTATTTTGAAGTTTATGATAAAACTGTTCGACAACTATATAGTTATTTTAGTTGATCATATTCACGCTTACAAACTTTGCGAATGATTCAACATACTTTAGATGAATCTAATTTAGATATTTTGCAAGTTATTAAAACTCGATGGCTTTCATTAAGTAATGTTGTAAACAATCTTTACCAAATTATTAATTCAGTAATTAGTGCATTATTAGAAGATGTATCCAAAGGTCAAAAAACTGCACAACAACTTTATAATTGTATTGATCAAGACTTTTTAATTGCAACCCATTTTTAGCTGATATACTTTCACAGCTTCGTCGTCTTTCTTTAGTTTTTCAAGCTGATTATGCTTCAGTTTCAGAAGTTACAATACAAGTTGATGCAATTATCGAATCTATTACAATTGACTTTATTGGTGAAGCAGATGTGTAACCTACATTTGGAACTATATTATTACGATTTATGAATCAACAAAATATTTTACCTGAAGATCTTCCTTTATTTGTACGAGAATTTACTATAAATACAGTAAAGAATATCAAACTTCGCTTTCCAGATCGTGTACTCATAAATTCTTTTAAAATTTTTGATCCAAAACAATTACCTACTGATCGTTATTTAATTTCAATCTATGGAAATAGTGAAATAATTAAGATTGGAAATTTTTACGGAACTTCTAAAAAAACTACTGGTAACAAAAATTTTTTATTAAATAAAATTTACAACTCTAAATACAGTAAATATTTAATTATTATTTTATTATATATAATTAGAGCACGAGTTTCAGAAAATTATTGATGCAGATAATCTTGCACAAGAATGGCGAATTATTCGATCACTTCTTTTTAATTACCGCAACCTACATATTACTAAAGCATGGCATAGTATACTGCAAGAAAATCAAGATTTTGCTTTAATTTATCCTAATATTTATTTTATTATTTCTATTGTTTTATGTTTACCCCTTTCTAATGCTTATGTTGAACGGGTTTTTTCAAAACAAAATCTTATAAAAACTAAACTTCGCAATAGAATGCTTTCAGATACTTTGAATGATATTCTTATGATATCTTTAAATGGTCCCGCTTATAATGAATTTAATTATGAACATGCCTATCAATTTTGGCGAAGTTCATTATTTCATTAAATAACATTTTTAAAATTTATAAATTTATATGATTTTTAAATAAATATTTTTTTTTGCATATTTGTGTTATTTTAATTGCTGCATTTTTTAATTTAAAAAAAATATGCAATTTAAAAAAAAACTTTTAAAGACACTTATGAACGAATGCTCGACTAGCACGAATAAGGCTATTACTAAAATTCTGAATAAAGAAATTGACGAACTATTCGAATTAATACAAGCTATAGAACTAGATCGATATCTTACTATACGTGAATAAACAATTAAATTAAACGATTTTTTTGCTTAATTATAATGATTATAATTTTAAGCAAATTACTAGGTTAGTAAAGAGATATTCTGGCATATAGAAGTTTAATAAGTAATTTGAGCAAAGGTTCAGTAAAAAATTTGAGTAAAGCTCAATAAGTAATTAGAGTGAAACTATATGAATAATTTGAGCAAAGGTTTAATAAATAATTGAATGAAGATGTTTAGTAAATGAAAGTTTAGTAAGTAATTTGAGTGAAGATTCAGTAAGTAATTTGAGCATAGATTCAATAAATAATTTGAGCGAAGGTTTAATAAATAATTTGAGCGAAGGTTCAGTAAGTAATTTAAATGAAGATTCAGTAAGTAATTTGAGCGAAGGTTCAAGAAATAATTTGAGCAAATGACAATAAATAATTTGAGCGAAGGTTCAATAAATAATTTAGTGAAGGTTTAATAAGTAATTTGAGCGATTAGTAAATAACTTGAGTGAAGGTTTAGTAAGTTATATAAAAAAATATCAGTGAAGGTTCAGTAAGTAATTTGAGCGAAGGTTCAATAAATAATTTGAGCGAAGGTTTAATAAATAATTTGAGTGAAGGTTCAGTAAGTAATTTGAACGAAGATTCAGTAAGTAATTTGAGTGAAGGTTCAAGAAATAATTTGAGCAAATGACAATAAATAATTTGAGCGAAGGTTCAATAAATAATTTAGCAAAGTTTAATAAGTAATTTAAGCGATTAGTAAATAACTTGAGTAAAGGTTTAGTAAGTTATATAAAAAAATACCAGTGAAGGTTCAGTAAGTAATTTGAGCGAAGGTTCAATAAATAATCTGAGCGAAGGTTCAATAAATAATTTGAGCAAAGGTTCAATAAATAATTTGAGCGAAGGTTTAATAAATAATTTAGCGAATATTTAGTAAGTAATTTGAGTGATTAGTAAATAACTTAAGTGAAGGTTTAGTAAGTTATATAAAAAAATACCAGTGAAGGTTCAGTAAGTAATTTGAGCAAAGGTTCAATAAATAATTTAAGCGAAGGTTCAATAAATAATTTAGCAAAGGTTTAGTAAGTAATTTGAGCAATTATAAATAACTTGAGTGAAGGTTTAGTAAGTTGTATAAAAAAATACCAGTAAAGGTTCAGCGAGTAATTTGAGCGAAGGTTCAATAAATAATTTGAGCAAAGGTTCAATAAATAATTTGCAAAAGTTTAATAGCAAAGGTTTAGTAAGTAATTTGAGCAATTAGTAAATAACTTGAATGAAGGTTTAGTAAGTTATATAAAAAAATACCAGTGAAGATTCAGTAAGTAATTTGAGCAAAGGTTCAATAAATAATTTGAGCGAAGGTTCAATAAATAATTTAGTGAAGGTTTAGTAAGTAATTTGAGCGATTATAAATAACTTGAGTGAAGGTTTAGTAAGTTGTATAAAAAAATACCAGTGAAGGTTCAGCGAGTAATTTGAGTAAAGGTTCAATAAATAATTTGAGCGAAGGTTCAATAAATAATTTGCGAAGGTTTAATAGCAAAGGTTTAGTAAGTAATTTAAGCGATTAGTAAATAACTTGAGTGAAGGTTTAGTAAGTTATATAAAAAAATACCAGTGAAGATTCAGTAAGTAATTTGAGCGAAGGTTCAATAAATAATTTGAGCGAAGGTTCAATAAATAATTTAACGAAGGTTTAGTAAGTAATTTGAGCGATTATAAATAACTTGAGTGAAGGTTTAGTAAGTTGTATAAAAAAATACCAGT